CTGTGGGAAAGGTTTCAGTACCAATTCCAACCTTATTAGCCACCAGAAGCTTCATACAGGAGAGAAACCCTTTAAATGTCCTGATTGTGGAAGAAGATTCAGTCACAATTGCAGCCTGGTGAGACACCAGAGAACTCATACAGGAGAGAAACCCTTCGAATGTCCTGATTGTGGGAAACGTTTCAGTCTGAATTCCCACCTTATTAATCACCAGAGGATTCATACAGGAGAGAAACCCTTTGAGTGTCCTGACTGTGGGAAACGTTTCACTAAAAATTCCAATTTGATTGAACATCAGAGGACTCACACAGGTGAGAAACCCTTTGAATGTCCTGATTGTGGGAAAAGTTTCAGTCATAATTCCCACCTGATTAATCACCAGAGGATTCACACAGGAGAGAAACCCTTTGAATGTCCTGTTTGTGAGAAAAGTTTCAGTACCAATTCTGGCCTAGTTCAACACCAGAAGACACACACAGGAGAGAAACCCTTTGAATGTCCTGATTGTGGGAAAAGTTTCAGTCTGAATTCCCACCTTATTAACCACCAGAAAAATCACACAGGATAGAACCCGTTTTAATGTCCTGATTGTGAAAAAAGATTCAGTACCAATTTCCACCTTATTAATCACCAGAGGATTCATACAGGAGAGAAACCCTTTCAGTGTCCTGACTGTGGGAAATGTTTCACTAAAAATTCCAAATGGGAAAAGTTTCAGTCAGAATTCCACCCTGGTTCAACACCAGAGGACACACACAGGTGAGAAACCATTTGGATGTCCTGATTGTGAGAAAAGATTCAGTACCAATTCCTACCTTATTAGCCACCAGAGGCTTCATACAGGAGAGAAACCCTTTAAATGTCCTGATTGTGGGAGTAGTTTCTGTCAGAATTTCAGCCTGGTGAGACACCAGAGGACTCAACAGGAGTGAAACATTATGAGTGTCCAGAATGTGGGAAAGATCTCAGTAGTAGGATTAACCTTCTAAATCATATGCTTATACACACAGGGGAGAAACCATTTAAGTACCCCAAATGTGGATGATCCTTCTGGAAACATTCCGCCCTTATTGCATACAAGAAAAGCCACCTGAGGCCCTAAGTGATGAGTGTAGAGCAGGTTTGAATTTCTTTTATAGTCCCATTGTAAGTACAGTTCAGAAAGTGACTATTTAATTTGACTGTGAAGAATTTGCCTGATATTCGTAGGCAAATATCTCATGATATTAGATGGGAAGGAGAAAAGAAGAAATCTGTTCAGATTGTGTCAAGAATGAGGCACACCAGTGGAAGTTACCATATGAGTAGCAAATATATTGGGGAGTTTGGGGCAGTGAAAAAACCAGGGTAAAATTTCAGATGTAAAGGCTGTTGTGCCTTGCATGTGGCCTTCATGGAGAAGAACTGTAGGAATATTGATTTGAAGAGAAAAGGGATTGTGGTTTTGACCACAGGATCTCCATCTTTAATCGCAACTCCTGCTGTGATCTCCTTCGCTTGCAAGTGATTTCGAATTTAAACATTTAAACTTATGCAAAATTTCTAAAATTTAAAATAGTGTGTGTGTATGCGTTGCGAGGTGGTGTTGGGATAATTGAATGGAG